AATATATTTCGATACAACAGACTTTATCCCAGTTGTTCGGATACCAAACCAAAATTTTTGTAGCAGCCTCTTTTTTTTTGTGGCAGATCAAACTGTAATATTAAGATTTTATTAGAAAATTAAATCCGATAAATTTGATTCCGAACTTACAAGAAGTGGTCTAATTCTACTTTTGTGCGCTACACAACCGTTTCCTCGTTCTAGCTCTTCCTTCTATTTACCACGAATTCTCCCGTTAAAATCGTCGCTAGCTTTCCTATACGCCTGTTCCACTAATTAATTATTTTGTGTTAATGTTTTTCTTTTCCAGGTACCTGCTAGAACTACTTACAATTATAATTTCCTTCTATGTTCGGGACGCCGAAGGGGAACCAGATGCACAGTATAGACGAACTTTATGATCCGAAATATTCCTTGAATTCCTCTATAATTTCACTTTATCTGCTAACAATGTCCATTATAAATTGTGTTTGGTTTGTTTTGGTTTTGTTTTTCTCTTCCCTTTCTTCACTTCTGACAACGGTACGAAACGGCAATAACATTAGGTACGCCAACCGCAGCTACGCACACCGTTGTGTTGGGTTTGCTGCCCTGCGGTGTTGACACCAGTCATGGTTGATCTAGAGGAATAAATCATCTGAACTCCAGAAAGATTTGAAGAACCTTGAACATCTGGATTACTCGGAAATAGATCGTACATGATCCGCATAGACACTTTTAATCTGATTGGACATTTTTCGATACTACAGACATTATTGCAGTCTTGGTTGATCTAGTAGAACAAATCAACTGATGTCCTAGACGATTTTGAACACATATAATTTCCTGTATACATAGTAATAAGTCGTGCATGATACACAAATTCACATATATACGATTCGGGTATGATTTGACAACGAAAAAGTGCAAGGTTCATATTACACATAAATAAAAAAAAATCGTGAAAATGTCTCACCAAGGAATATCCGTGTAAATACAGAACCGCGACGTGACCCACAAGTGAGATTTATGAAACTCTGATAATTTCTCGATTATGTGCAGGGTGTTTGGTTTGAATCGGTAAAAAATTGAGAAAACTAGAGCCAAATTAATTACAAAATTTAGGACTGCAAAATACGTCAGAGACGCAAAGTTTAATTTTCAAGGAAATTTGCATTTGAAATGAAAATGGATTTTTTTTTTAATAATGTATCATCAAATCTAGGTCGGTATTATTCAATAGAATCTCATCATGTAAGGTTTTTTTTTATGTTCACTAATTACTCATATTTTATACTATACATAAATATCTGAAGATGATACATTGTTTTTTTTTTTTCAAAGATTATAAACGATACTCCTTTAGCTCAGTCGGTAAAGGCGCAGCTATAAAGCAAGTCCATTCTGGAGGCAACTGAGATCGTTTCCCGTCCGGTCTATTAATTATTCAGGTTGGAAAATTTATCAACTTTTTTGGGCGTAGGATGGTACAGGCATAGAAAGCTCTCAATTAAAATGTGAAAGTACTTCAAAGAACACTAAGTTGAGAGCAGGTAAAATCTAATATGCTATAAGTAATAAACTTGAAGTGCCATGTAGTAGTATACAAATGGTATTTTTAGATAATGAAAGCAGTCGTGGATTTCTTTTGAGAAATCACGGATTTTGCGGATCAAATTTAGAAAATCTTGTAACAGCCCTGAATATGGATCATCACAACAACAACAGACGATGAAAATTCAACAACGGAAGTTTCTGGAGAGAGTTGGCCCTAACTCTAACCCTCACGTTATGGAGGCTTGCAAATGAAATTGTAACCTTTTTGACCGATTTTGTGAGATAGAGTATTAATTTTCATGAGCTAAAATTAATCTTCTGAAAACATTTGGCCAAATTACACATTCCTTGATCGTGAAACTACATCACCTAGCGTTGCCCTTACCCGGGAAATGTATCAGATTTATCATTTCTCGACTCCCGGGAAACTAGTTTGTGCTCCCGGGAAACAGTTTTATTTATAATTCAGGAGAAAATTTGACGAATCTTTAGTGCGAAGTCAGGAAATCTTCCAGGCAAAGAATCTGCCATTCGACACTGGTAGGCGCTTCTGAAACAATTTTTGAGAAATTCTCGTGTGAAGTTGGAAGAGTCTTCCTGGAAAAGTTAAAAAAAAGCCAATGCAAATTTAGGCAGCCAGATTAAACTTTCAGAATAATTCACTGCCAGCGGTAGCCAGTAAGACATCTGAGGGTAATCTGAAGATACTGTTGAAACGGAAAGTCGATGAAACTTCCGTTCAACGATGGAAGAAATTTTCGGGAGAAAGTGGAAGAAACTTCCATGCAAAGTCGGACGAAACCTCCCAGAGAAATCAAAAGAATCCATCCGAAGAAGCCGTTCGAAATCTTCAGGAGACCCTGGCATTTCCCAATTCCCGGGAATTCCCGGGAAGAGTTTTCAGTTATTTCTTGATTCCAGGGTAGCCAGAAATAGCCGGAAAATGGAACCACTAACACCACCACATCACCAAAAACTTCAAAGACATTCAAATTCACAGCCATCGATCCCTAGAAAGCAAAAGAGCCCTAGCATCCCCTGGCCTGGACAAGAGCCATCTAACTTGGATCTTTTAATGAATGAAAACTAAATCTTGAAATCAAAATTTTTTGTCAGACGACGATTGTTTGAACATCATTTAATGGAAAATATTAGACTACTTTGCTTATTTTTGAGTAGATATGAGTAACTCAAATTTACTCACTGAAAATATATTAACTCTGAGTACAGTTGTCTTGCCCCTTGGTGTAAACAAAAGACCGGGTCACCCGACTACTTTGTCGTCAAGAGGAAAAAGACAGATATCGCGTCTGGCTCTGAACAAGAACATGAGTCAGCGGCGCCGGTGGTGTAGTGGTAAGCGTGATTGCCTCTCACCCCAAAAGGTCTGGATTCATTCCCAGTCGGTGCCGCCGGGATTTTCGGAGGCATAAAATCTCTGATCACGCTTTTCTTCGGAAGGGAAACAAAGCCGTTAGTTCCCGGTCTATGAGTTGAGTTGATGGGTCAATAGCTAGGGTCCAGGTGTGGGCTCTGCCTCCCTGGCGTTGGTAACATTGGTACTTAGTACGGAAAACAAGATCGACGGAAAACAAATCAATCACAAATTTAGATTAATAGAAAAAAAATCTACACATGTTCGTCACTGACAGCATTGTCATTGACAATTGACATGGTTTGCCTTGATGATGACTATGAGCTCAAATGAGTGACCAAAGTAGAATTCAAGAGCCACATGTGAAAATGGCATACAAGCTTTTTGTAAACAAACCTTTGTAGGCCCTTTTATCGCCAACCGAGGGTCACCCACGCAAACCAGCAATTTCATCGGGAAGGGGAAAGTTTCAGATGTTAAAGGTTTGCGTTGGTGTCATATGGGTGACGAGAAAAGGGGATTATAAAAATCTCGTATGCTCTTTTCACATGTTGTTCTTGAATTATCAATATCACCGTGTATTGTCGATATTTTTCAGGACTGGCTCTAGATGCATTTCTGCATTAGTATAATTGTGTGGCAAGCAGGGCTACTTCCACTTACTCGCTTTAAAAAAATGTTTTTCTTAATTATGAAATCATGAGATAGTATAATGATAATCAGAATTTGTAAGCTACAAGAAGAGGTCGTGAAGTATGTGTTTGACACATCAAATCTGTCAATATTGCCTTTAGTGCGTCACAATCAGCGATTTTACGACTCGTGAGCGCTCACTCTGAGTGAACGCTCACGAATCATATGATCGCTGATTGTGACGCCCTGAAAGCAAAATTGACAGGTTTTATGAATCAAACACATAATTTACACCCTCTTCTTGTTACTTTTAAGTACAACAAATCATTATATCATATAATGATTGCATAATTCAGAAAAATATGTTTTTATAGCAAGTGAGTGGATGCAAACCTGGTGGCAAGTACATTAATACCATAGACTAGTACAATAATACTAAGACTAGAAGGTCCAGAAATAACGTGCTCCACTTTTTGGCTCAGCTCTGGTACTCTCTTCGGTCCCAAGCTAATCGATTCACCCCTCGAAACATAGGAAGAACCAATAACCCCTCATTTTATCTGTCAAACTTTCATAGCGAATCAAAACAAACATTGCGTAGTACTAGAATTTCGACTAGAATGGGATACGTTAATCGTCTGCTTGGGACCAATAGGCTAGTCAAGTAGTGAGCCAATTTAAAATCGTTATGATCGTTGATCGTATTGATTGTTGATAATACTCTACTCGGAAAAAAATCCGTTCCCGAAAACGGGAACGGACCGTGAACTAAAAATCACGGCCAGCTATCCAGAACAAAATTGTCTCAAATATACACCGTGAACTATGGTTCACGGCTGTGGTTCACGAATATGGGAACTCTTTTTTTCCCGTGTATGCCCAGCGAAGTCGAGAAATTTTCCGACTCGAAAAATTCCCTGACTGGACCGGGAATCGAACCCAGCCACCTCCAGTATGGTCTTGCTTTGTAGCAGCGCCTTTCCCGACTGAGCTAAGGGAGGTCTCAATGCATTTGATCAACACTGGATTGAATGTGCTGGTCATTGCATCTAAATCGTTAGATTATTCATGGAAATATGGCACTTTAAAGTTGGACAAAATTGTGCTAGTCCTGATTATGCTATTATTATTATCAAGGATCAGAAAATGTCTAGAGGATATGCACATTTCATCCCGTATAAGCTTGCTATAAATAAGCATCTCTCTGATTTGTTTATCCTAGCTCTCCGATTTGCTCAAGGACATAGAGTTTCTTTGATTTTCTGAACTTCAATATAATAGTGTTTATAGAACTGGAAATAGAATCTCAAGCACTTACAAATAAACAAAATACTGAAATCCTGAAGTTTTGTTTTGTTTTGATCATTTATTTGTCATATTACTAACCCTGTTTAAATCTACAATGCTAAGCTAACCATTCATTCATTTCCCCACTCATCCCGCCTTAAACTAAATCCTTAGCCTAAGTTCTGTACATTGCACTCGATTTGACTTGCATCACAACCTGTAAAATATAACTCCTTTCCACATAGCCCGCCTAGCCTTTACTGCCTTCCGCACTGGAAAGCTGGCAGCGCAAACTGTCCGGAGGTTGAGGCTCCCTCCGGAAGACTGTCGCTCAACATCACCGGGAAATAGGCATAAGTAGCATTTCCTCCAGTGCCGGAACCAGACTTCTTCTTCTTGGCTTGTTGCTCTTCGGCTTCCTTCCGTGCCAGGCCATCGATCAGGCTCTTCAGCTTGGACTTGATTTCCTGCAGTTCCCCCTTAAGTTCGTCGCATACTTTGGAGCATCCAGCCGCGGGAGGGATGACGGACTCGTGAACGTTGCTGCTGTCGGTAAATTCCGGTTCCAGTGGAGGTGGTGCCGGGGTCGTGCTCGTTCTCGGTGCTGTGGGTTTGGCGGAGAACTGTCGTGGAGTAGTGACTGGTCGTGGAGTGGTGGTAGATCTTGGAGCACTTACACGCTGAGTTACGGTAACGCTTGCTGCCTTTTCCAGTTCAGCTTGCAGGCTTCTACAAGCTGGTGGAAAGAAGAGGTCCTTCCATTGAACGTCCTTTGCAACCGAGCCTTGGTATACGTTGGTACTAAAACATACAAGAGAGATGGTTAATGTTATATGCTAAGGACATAGCTGCACGGTTCACTTACATGCTCTTCTCCAGTCGGGAGATGTAGATCTTGGTGGCGTGCTCTGGCGGGACCACCCGGTATCCCTTCAGATCCGAGACATAGTGCGTCAGATGAGGTTTGCCATCCGGATCCACAAATCCATAACATCCGTAGGTCACACCGTCCGAACCCTTGACCTTGTGCTGGAAGTGATGGTCCTGCGTCTTGACGACATCCAGTCCATACTCGAACACACCTTCCCGAAGTTGCCCGTGATGGTAGGAGTTGGAGTTCTTCTCGACGTTAACGTTGATGTCCAAGGTGCGATCATCAATCGACAGCGACTGCACCAGGGTGACCAATGCCATCTGCAAATCAGAACCCAACACACATGATACGGTTAGAATTAGCATACTGATGAGAAAAACAAATTAGTCATCATTGATTCACATAGGAAGCAGATGGTCCCGATTGACGGATGCTGGCCCCAACAAACACCTACACCAGGTGGGCGATACATGGTTAGTTGGTTGATTGTTGCTTTTTGATGAGGTCATAAAGATCGATTAGGTTGCCTTAATTTACGACGGACGGTTGAGGTGATAAACATTCTTGCGTGGTGTTAAATTTTTGATTTGCCAAATTTCATCATAGAGATGTATGGATTATTAATTTATCGGGGAACAAATTGATTCCAAGGGTCCAGCAGGCGCAACATCGTCAACCGTTACCGTGTCGCAATGAAAATGGTAGGTAATAAAACAATTAGCATAACAAATGCTTGATTGCATAATTTGCGCCGGTCGTGTGAAACTGGTGGCCTATTGTTGTGATGATTGGATAGCATAGGAAACATCTTAAATATCTTTTTTTTTTCCTAGGATGGTTTTCAATATGGTTGGATGTTTAGAGTGGACTTTGGACCCTGGAAGACAAACCTGGAGGGGGACGTGCTGCCAAATCAGCCTACTGATCATTCTTGTATGAAATTGGTTTCAAACGTAAACAAACCATGTAGGTTTCTTATGGCTTGTTTACGTTTGGAACAGTTATACGAGGTAGGCGACGATTGTTCGTATTTGACAGCCACATCCCACTCCTAAGACAAACTCAAGGAACCCCGGTGTCATGCGAAATCTGGGAGGCCAGTTTTTGGTATCTTACATGGTAAGAAAAAAGTACCCAAAATTGAGTTCATTTCGCTCAACACGTGGCTTCCGTAAGGCACGGTAAAATTAAGTTAAAGAAGATAACTCAATTTTGAGTAATCCTGATCTAGAATCCATCGAGTGAAAATTACCTTACGATCAATCGAATGGAAATGGTCAAATTTATACCAACGTTGGAAGAAAATATGTATTCATATCCATTTATTTAGAATGTAAATCAATATGGCAACCAAAATCAAATTTAATTTATTTGAAACAACCTGCAGTAGAATAATTTACGATTTCAATGGAGCTAAAAATACTCACAATCTACCACCATCCAAGCGGTTTTCGTTACAATTTTTCTTGTCAGTATTTGCCAAACACTAACGAAGACTAATGTGAGGACGAATGGAGCAAGAACGGAGGCGATGGGAAAAATGGCGCAGGTTGCTTTGATTTTCAAAAATATTTCAAGATATTCTTTGTTAGCTTGGAGTTTTTAGGTCTCATCATCAAGATGCTTACATACCGACTCTCAAAGCTGAGCAAGCCCGCTGTCATCCTTAATTTTCAGAATCCGCCCACAACGTCCCGAAGTTCACCGGATCAAAGAGCTCTGCACCAGCTCCAACAGTTCCAGATCAATCTATTTCCGATATCATATTTACACTACACACCGAGAACCAAAAAGGCTTCCAAAAGTCTGCTCGTCACAATAAAATCAATGAATTAGGTATCTTCTATGCAAGATTCCGATCGATTCAAACTGAAGCACACGCTCCAACAGTTCAAAATAGCCAACCAGGCGCAAAGATAGTCATAGTGCAGACATCTATCGGAATCATCTCAAACCGTCCGCTAGTTGCTTCCTAAAATTCAAAAGATGTCGCAGCACAGACACGGATTAATTCGCTGATACCGATAGACAAGCATGGTATTTATTGGCGCCATCGATTAGAAAGCGTCCCGCTGTGGTTTTATAATGACATCAAATAAAGCTGAGTGCGAAGCGCTTGTGTTGTTAATTGACACCTGGCCCGGGTGCGTCAATTCGCGTGAACAGTTTTGCTCAAGTTCATCACAAACGGATCAAGCGGTCGTCCCCAGGGAAAACTATAATGAAGCGTTTTATGACCAATTGGCACATCATTATTCGACCATAACGATCACTCGAGCAGAGTTGCCAGAACTATTTTTTTCGGATATCGGTATTATCCTTTCACAGAAATCGGTAACTCGTTTTATTTACTAAAATTAACTGGCGGAGATCGATTGGCGGTACAAAGTTGTTGGAGGCGGTGAATGCATATTAGGAGGGCGTAATTTAGAAAAAGTTGATCGTAAATCCACAGACAAACAGACGTAACTCTTTGAAAAACTTGTTCTTGAAAACATAGTATCTCAAAACATATAACCTCAGTAACGACATCTATCTGGCTTCTCGCGGAAAACAAGCTTGCTCGCTAACTCGTAAACAATATTGCATAAAATTTCTATAGAATATATAGAAACGTCAAAGTGATACGATGCCAGCGCTGCGGCGAGTAGTTCGCGGAACTGATAATATTCAAATCAACCGTTAAATGCATGAACGAAGATACACAATGAAGAGTTACGTCTGTTTGTCTGTGGTAAATCATTGATTCGATTAAAATTATTATGTGTTCAACGTTATGCAAGATTATAATTGCAAAAAAGGACAAACGGGGTAGTTTGTTGCATCTGTTTCAAAAGTTTCAATTCGGATTGTGGGCTTGGTATCGCTGAAGTCGGTTTGTCCGTGAATATCGTGGCGAATAATTCGGGCCCGTCAGTCATATGCAAAATGTTGGACAAGTTCCTTGTCGTTTTCTACCGTTTCTGAATCAAGTGCAATTTGTATGATGATGAATGTATGTATGAATTCCCATCATTTCACAATGATCATGGTTGGATTTGGTGAGTTTGTTCCAGTTGAAGAACGTTCTAATACAGGGTGCGTGACGAATTTTTGCAGTAAATTTCAAATAGTAATTTCTCGTGCTTGTGCATCATGATTTAGATATATTTGGCAGCATTGGATAGCTTATACTGTTAGGTGTAAGATTTAAACAAACAATGTTGAGTAAACGTAAAGATGTCGCAACAAGAGAGCAATCTGTCAGCCGTTGTCGCTCTGTTGCGCACCGGAGTATGCATGAAAGAAATAATTCGGTCGGTAAATGTGTCTGAAAGAACAGTGTATGATATTAAAAAAGGCTTGGGAAAGTGATAAGACGGAGCACCTGCTCATAGAGCACAGAAATGGCTTACGGAAAATATTTCGTAAATTTGGGAGGAAGAAATTTGGCCCCCAAGCACAACTTCCATATGTTGCGAAAGAAAATAAATCGCACAAAATTCATTGCTAAAATAACTAACAGGTGTATTTTTTCTCAAATATGCCATTTACTGCAAAAATTCGTCACGCACCCTGTACATATGCTATCAATTGTTCTTGATTTCTTGATTTTATGAGTTTTGAGGTTGGCCTTTGGCTGATCGGAGTGTGTGATTGAGATTGGGATTGAGATTGGTAACATCACAACATTTGTGACACAGATGTTACAAAACTGCCATTTTCTTGTTTATTCATTTATTTGATAAGGCTCAATCGAATTACCTTTACGGAGCCGAGGATTCTTGTTCATCTTAAAAATGTGGTCAACAGATATAGCACAATAAACAATGTATCTTCCGCTTTCCAATAAGTCTTCTCCATCAAAACGGGAGCCGTTTCCAGTGGTTTCATTGTAATGGCAGTACCGCCAACGGGGGACAGAGCACTTCTATTGCAGCAATGGACGTAAAACGTGGTTAGCACTCACACACTCATCACGAAACGGTTGCTTTCCAAAGTCGACGACGCATCGGCCGAAAGAACTGCTCATGAAGAGGAAGACCACACAATGGCTGCTGTGGAGAAAACAGACGACCAATTGACACACATCAAGAGTGGCCTGCTTCTGTCGACAACTGACAAAACTGCCATTGGAGCTATTGATTTGATTTATTTAAGTTTATCAGAAGTCTCCTAAATAAAGAAAAAACAACCACAACTTATTTAAGTTTATTTTCAGCTCATCGATGATGAGACATCTCAAGATTCACTTTTTTCAGCCTTCGTTCAGGCTGGGTATACTGATTCACGATTTGAGGTGTGTTGTGGGCTTGCAATATTCAATCACAATTATCTCTTTATTTAACGTCTATGTCGTAATTTAAAGAGTGTTCTGGAGTTCAAAATCTTTAATCGTAAGAAACGACGGCAAAATTAAGTTTAAACAAATATTTAATCGCGCTTAGCTCCATAATTGAGACCTTAATTGCGATTTTTTCATTAAGTCGATGAAGGGTGAAAGTTTTCGTCCAGTATTTTATTATATAAAAAACTAATTACGCGATACTTTTTTTTATACGTCTGAATATTTTCTAAGCGGTAAACCTGGTAGAGCGTTTGATTTGAAGCTTTTGGATGAGATCCGTTCCAGCTATTTGTTTGAATGTAATTCAATATTTACCAAATAACGTCTCAAAAAATTAGTTGAGGAGCTCAGCTAGCTTGATGGCTACCTCTTTTGCTTACTGAATAGAAAATCGTCTGTTTAAGAAGTGTTTATCGGAAATCCATAACAAATCCTTCTCAAGAGCAGTTTTTGTTGTCGTCTGTGAGGTCGCTGCCGGGACCGAAATCTAGTAACAGCAAGTTGAACGGGAGCTTGATCGTGATATATGGAGCGCGGTGGCCTAGTTGCGACCTATTTTGCTTATTGAGCAGAAAATTGTGGGTTAAACCTAAAGCTCCTTCGCATTATAGAGTTTCAGAGTGAATCGAATTTATTCTTAAAATGAGATAAATCGTATTGAAATTGGGTATGAGAAACGAGTACTTAAAATAAATAATATTTAAGTTTAAGGAAAGACGCATTGATCAGAAATTTATAATAAATCCTTCTCAAGAGTAGATGTTATCGTAGTAACGTTGAACAGGAACTTGGTCGTAATGGTTTTGTGAAATAAGGAGCTCGGTGGCCTTGTGGCGACCGATTTTGCTTACTGAGCGAAAAATCATGGGCTCAATCCCAAGTTCCTTCCCATTATAGAGTAACACTTTAAATCGGCTTTCTTTCATAATATGATGTAAAGCATAACAAAATTCGGTTAGAGGGCTGGGTACGTAAGAGAAGAAAAATGTGAGT